TTTTTTTTTTTTTTCTCAACCATCTCAACAAAAGCATTTGAAAAATGAGCCAACATTAAAGCAATAGTAACGACCAAACGCTTTTTTCAGACTTTGGTTAAGTGAAATGCTACACAGTCCCCAACAGATAGATAAATGACAAAACTTGCTTTTTTCCTATTTTAATGCTAAACTGCCTACTAAAACATTTTCTCATTGTCAACAAATGCAAAAAGCTCACTGTGCGATTCTTTTCCAGCTATTCAAATCGGGACTATAACTCCAGAGATTCAAGGGACTATGGACCGCCCCCCAGAGACTACTCATACAGAGACTATTCAAATTCCAGTTCCCGCGATGACTATGGCTCAATGACGAGAGGATACAAGTATGAGTGTGGATAGGTACAAATGTTCAACAACGGAGGTAAAATTTGACCTGATTATTAACAATTGCATGTTTTCTAGTGACCGTGATGGTTATGGCAGTGGTCGGGAACCCAGAGGCTATATGGATCGTTCAAGTGGTGGCTCCTACAGAGATTCATATGATGGTTACGGTAAGATACAACTCAGTTAGAGTAATACCTAATTGTAAGAAACACAATGAAGGGCAGCGCAAATCAAATCATGGCACTGGCCACCACTTCGTCCAATCACAAGGAACTCCAGTGTTTTGCATCTTAAGAGAAAAACTTTTTTTTTTCCCTGATCAACAAACCAGCTTCCATATTTTTTACTTTATTTGGAATATTTAACTATTGGCATCTCGTCTGCAAACAAAATTAAATCCAAAAGACGAGTCCATATAATATATTTCCAATTATTTAAATCAGTAAAATTCCTTGGAGTGTAATTTTAAAAAAATGACGGCGAGTAACTCCTGTGCCTCAAAAAGTAAGTCACGAAATGGAATCCCCAAATCTTTGGAAGTGTCCGTTGTCCAATGTGTTGCCTAGCAAAGCCACTCCCTCAAGGAGTAACCCTAAAAACAAACAAACAAAAAACATCAAGACGAGTCTGAAATCCTCATCCTTCTCTACACTTGGAACCCTGAAAGGAAAAATGGCTACACCAAAAATGGCATGCAGAATTGCTACTTGCTTTGTGTATCGACAAAAATATTCATGTTGTTAAATTTTAAGTCTCAAATTTGTGAAAGATTGGAATGTGCAATCTAATGAAATTGTCTCAGTAAATTCTATTGGCAAAAGGTGAGCACTTGACAGTGCAATAAAATGTATAAATTGAGTCTTGCCAATTACCTGAACCATTGACCCTGCAGGTAACTCACGCAGCGCCCCACCTTCACGGGGCCCCCCACCATCCTATGGTGGCGGTGGTGGAAGCAGTCGTTATGATGACTATGGCAGCAGCTCCAGGGATGGCTATGGCAGTCGTGACAGTTACCCCAGCAGTCGGAGTGAGCCATATCCCTCTAGCCGTGGAGAGCGAATGGGCAGGCAGGAAAGGGGCCCGGCTCCCCCTGCCGAGAGAGGCTACCCTCCTCGTGACTCGTACGGCTCAAGTCGTGGAGGGCCACGTGGTGGCCGTGGTGGCAATCGAGTCGATAGGGGAATGGCTCGCAACAGATACTGAAATGGACTTGGATGTCACATAAAGTCAACACGTCTTCGTTCACCCTTAAGTTTTGGAAGAAATCTGTCAACAAGATGAAGTAGGCATGTCTAACTCTGGAGTAGGAAGCTTAGCTTTGTATCTTGACTTTCCCAGTTTTTTATGTGTAAAAGTTCAATTTGTTTTAGGTTTTTTTTTTTTTTTGCTTTGCTTATGTCACAGTACAGTAGCTAAGTGTTTTTGTACATTCAGTGCTTTTGGAAACTGCAGTGCCCTATAAGTATTGGCTTTCATACTCTAATAAAGCTTTTAGTTGAACCTTGACATCTGCTCCTCGATTCCTGAACTCAAGACCACTGACAATAGGATGTCGAGCAACAGCCGCCAACATGTTTTAAATTTAATTTTTTTCCTCCCAAGTTTTCTAATGCATAGGTGAGTGTTTGTGCTCTATTGGAGTGGAATGAATTCATAACCAAATGTGCTACCAACTGGACTATTTGCAAGCTTGGAGAAATGTTACTGTTAAAATGTTCTAATGTAGTTCCCTTGGAAATGGATCCATCACCGTAGAGCATGCAACGACAAAACCAAAGGCAACAACCAAAAGCAACTCAACTGATAGTCAACAGCTGGTAAGCAAAGCAAACCTCTTTTTCTCGTCTGTACATGAGTTTCTCATTATCCTGAACTGAAATCTTCAGTCAAAAGACAACGTTTGCCTCAAGGAACAAAGCAAAAAGGAGTTCAACTGAAATCAGCCCTGTCACTATAATCTTGTTTATCAGCTAATTTTTAAAGTACAGAAACGACCAATGAAGAATCTTCCCTTATGAGCAACAAGATTTATCAGCCATTTGAGTCCTCCAGTTATACCATTGACATAGCAAACTTCAATGAAAAGATTGGCATCATGGTATATGTATGTGTTTATTAAGTGAAAGCAAATTAAGACAATAAAATTGGGAACTATTTTCTCAATACTAAAAGCTGTTCTACAATCATGCCAATTCAAATACTGGAGCCTCCTGGAGAAACTTCATCAACCTAACAGGCAAACTGGACACAACGACTGAAGCGAACTTGAAGTTGGATTGAGGACAACACTGTCTCACCCATTTTATCAATACATGTTTAGAGAAAGGGCATTGTGTTAATATGTTTTTTCATTGCAGGATGAACATCGCTTACAGGCAATGTCCTTTGCAATGTATCCAAAATAAGTTCTGCAGTTGGTGGACCAATTCACCGTCAGTGGATCAGCCGAGGTATGTCCAGGAAATGAAAAGCCCCTTACCAAAAATGTAAATGCTAGGTTTTATAAACCTGTAGTTTTCGTTACCAACCGCCAAAGAATAACATTTAATGTAGCTAAATGTGTCCATTGCATCTGCAAAGCACTGTATTTTACAATGTCTGCTTAAAACATTGGCATTAATTAGAGTTAATCTTAGTACCATAGTTTATTTGCTAATGATCGTTTGAACCACTGGACACATTTTAATGAAATTTGATGGAACCGTATCAAATACTGTAAGTCAGCCATTTTTAGAGCTATTAAGCTGAAATTTGGTGTGGTAGTAGCTGAGACCAGTGCCCAATAAATAATAAATTAAGAATTAAAGATGGTCGCCAAAGCTCAATTTCTCAGCTATTTTTACACGTGGAGCTGAATATTGGTGTGGTTATAGCCGAGACCCGTTCCCCATCACATACTTAATCCAAATCAAAAATCCAAGATGGCCACCGTAGCTTAAGAAAAAAACAACTTTTAACTCATTGATATTTTGCTATTTTGAGCTGAAATTAGGTAAAGTGATAGCTGAGAGTGAACCCGAACACAATACTGTCAAATCAAAAATTTAAAATGGTCGCGACGTGGCCGTCCCTGTCAAAGTTTCCCCAGGAACTTTCTAGCTTTTATTTATGACTTGCCATAGATCATTGCATTTTAATTTAACATTTTCAAAATATTAAGGAACTTAAGCATTTTTTTAACCAAATGAGATACAGCACACACTGAGTGCATATTTTCTGTCTTTGTTTAAAATGTAATTTTTATTTTATTTTGAAAACGGGTATATGATCATGTAAAATGAAACTAATTGGTGGTTTTGCTGGCTGCCTGTCAGGTGCTGTGACCGACCTCTGCAGGCGTTTGCTGAATCCTTTTGACCGGAACAACTTGCCGAGAGTGGAAAGAATACCAGGATGAACTTGATGCAGCTGCTTGTTTTCTTTTCAAGTCTTTAAGAGATGTCTCCTTCCTTTTAATGTTGTCATGAAACAAGAACACAAAGGCATGACACGGATCACTATATGATTGGACGCTTTTAACCCATTTCTCTTCTAGGAAGCTTATTTTTACTAATGGGGTGTAAAAAAATAAATAAATTCCTACTCAACCCAAAAGTGATTGTTTCCTTTATGATCAATGTAGGCTTATTTTATTTTCTCTTTCTGCAGAACATGCTGGTGCATGTCAGCTGTCATTACCCAACTGTTTTTAGTCTTTCTGAGTTTCCACGTTATGAGGCCGCATGTCCTTCGGATGAAGAACAAGCCGGTGAATTGTTGAGGTGCCTTTTTGCCAGTAGGGGTGATCATCAGTTTTACATGTTGTAACAGCGCCGTCCTCTTCCCCTCACCGCCTCTTTTTTTAACTTCTTGCAGAAGTGCGGATGTGCTTGACATATTGATACGGAACAGGCCGCCTGTTGTTATTTTTAAGCGATGCGGGTTTAGGCAATGATCGGGGTGGTGGAGCCATGAATCCCGAGGAGCAGACGGTAACGTGGTTGATCTCTTCAGGGGTGCTCAGCTCGCCTAAGAAGAACGTAGCGGACCCGGAGGAGTTTTTAAAAACCTCGCTGAAGGATGGGGTCGTCCTTTGCAAGCTCGCAGAGCGGTTTGTACCTGGCTTCACTCCCAAGGTGAGCTGTAGATTTCTTGGGTACACAAATAAACGAGTTCTCGGTGAACAGGGAGGGGTTTGATGAACGTGATACCGACACGAACAACTTCCTGCAGTTCTCTTTTTTTTTTTACAGCCGTTTTTAAGTTTTAACATTGGACTGATTTCTATGCGCACTAATGGAATTCATGGGTGTTTACAGATGGCTGCGTTGTTTGTGATCGTTTACAGAAGTGGTTTCCTGTGAAGCGATTAAAAAAAAAAAAATTGTTCCGCATTCTTGATCCGAGTGGGTCAGCGTGAAGAACGAACCAAAACACGGAGCCTCAACATTTGTTTGGGATTTGAACGAAAGGCTTCACCACAGCCGTGTTTTTGCAACTTTATAAACGCGTATTTCCTCAACATTGGCGTTAAAGTTAACAATAACAGTTGCAAATTCAGGTCGTCACTTCCTCTTGAGCGAACAGCGGCTGTTCCCAATGCGGACCCCCCCCCCCCTCCACCGGCTCAAAGCAGAACGCGACCGGAAGTTGCTCCTCCGTCGTAACACGGCTCAATCCTTTGAAGTAATTTCATATCATTATACTTTACAGCCGTACACTTTACTTAGAAACATTGTATGTTTCGGCTAAGCAGCAAAAATCAATGTTTGTTCCACCTATAAACTTTTAAACATTACCTCGCGCGCTCGTTACCGCTTTTATTTTGAAGGTTTGCCGAGTGAGCGGATGTTTCTCTTAAATATGGCTGCTTTAGTTTCTGTGGCTTTAATGGTTATGACTGCAAAGAGGAGACGCACGCAGAAACAAACTATGCTTTAAATGATGGGACTATAATACTCGGATTGATACTACCTAAGACTATAGGAGTAAAATGTCAGCTGTGGGGCGTTAATGTGTGGCAGAGTTTTGTACCAATCCGACGTACAGCATGTTTATATGTTTATTTCGTCGTGTGTACAGTACTGCCAGGATCCCAGAACTGAAGCCGACTGCATTTCCAACATCAAGGAGTTTTTAAGAGGATGCTCGTCCCTGAAAGTGGAGGTAAGTTCACTGAATGCCTCCTTTAGCAGTTTGATGTCGAAAATAGTTAGATTTTACTTTAGGAGAAATGTAATCATTCACTTCCTGTTGTGATCTGCTTTGCATGTTGACATATGCTGTCCTCACATGTCCATGTGGATGAAGGTGGGGGGGCTTTCACACACGCTGTCATTTACTCACATAAACCAAACAGTGAAAGACATTTGATTCTCATGACATGCACTTAGAAAAGTCTAACTCTTAACTGTCACGTGTTTAAAAACCCTTCCAGAAGTTTTTTTTTTTTTTTTACTGACCTGATTTGTAAAACAACAGATCTTTACAGTAGAAAGAGGCAAATCATTTGCAGATGCTGGTTTTTCTTAACTCCTACCAGCAGGTTTGCCACAGTGGACAGTACAGTAATGTCTTTTCCAGCGTTATAAATAATCTGTTCTGGTTTTGAAACACATCACTTGGGTTTTTTAACAACTAATTGAGTCAGCAAGCTTGGCTCACTTTAGTGGTCTGGTAGTTCTGCCCAGCTGGCTTGTTATGACTGGGAGGCCCTCTCTGTTTTTATCCACTAACTCTGCTTCAGCCCATAATTAGACCTTCTGTGACCAGTCAGTAGGTCATCGACTGAAGTTTTCTAAGATTATGTCAAATGTGTCAGCCTTAGAGGATGTCTGTGTGGCTGCAGTAAACCTGCCCTTCAGTGTTCATGGTTGGACCGTCATTTCTTAATTTTTTTTTTGTCATGGCATATAGTGCCTGTCCTGTGACTTCACAAAAGAAAGCTGCTTTCACTTCTGCTCTGGGATAAACAAAGAGGAAGCACCAATTACTGTTCACGGCTTGTATTTTTTTTCACTCAGTTATGATCTGCATGAAAATATGTGTCTGCTTTTATTTTAGTATACTGCTGTTTGTCCATTTGAGGCACGCATATACATAGCATCACTCAGCTACTCCAAACCACGTGAGAATATTAAAGCATTTAACAAAATTGATCAGAACTCAACCCCTTAAACCGTTTTATTTTTTGCTGGATTGAAAGCGAGTTAGTAGATCTTCGTCGTTCCATAGATCCCAAAGCAATCGTAACTCAGACGAAACGAAGCTCTACACAGCTCTGGATCCACTTTGTACTATTCAAACACTATATTTAAGATGTTTTATTTAAAATGTGAAACTTTATCCACCAGAGGAAAGCAGATAGCGGTCTTGGACTGAATAAGCAAGCAGTGAGTGTGTGAGCATCTGTGCATGCAACCAAGTGGAAAGTCAACCACGAATGAGCTTGACTCTGTGTTTCATCCCAAAATATGGGTCATGCTCAACATGTCACCTTTTATCTTTGTCTTGTTGAGGCTATATTTATTGTCTGTGTCTTACAAGGACATGCACATTATTTTCAGTCTGTGTCCGTGTGTACTTTGTAAGCACCAGAATTGTCTGAAAAAGCCTAATTTGTGTTCATTCAGCTCCAGCTGCTATTAACAGATTTTTTTTTTGGTCTGACTCCGTCTTCTCTGTTGCGTTTCCATCCAGGGGTTTGAACCAGAGTGGTTATACACTGGAGAGAACTTTGGCAAGGTCCTGAATACGCTGCTAGCTGTCAACTTTGCTACACAAGGTAAGCATTTTCTCTGTCCAAAGAAACTTAACTTATTTATCCTCATCCAAAAATTAGCCACTTCCTAAAATTTTTGCCAAACCACCTTTACCTTTTGATTACAGCGCACATTAGCCATGGGATTGGCTTTTAGTATTCAGTATCAAAGACCGTCTTTGAACAAATCTTGTAATTATAGAAGAAACAAGACTGCTGCACACACTCATCTTCAGCACACCCCACAAAGTCTTTATGGCGTTAAAAACCCGGACTCTGTGGTGGCCAAACCATAATAAAAATACAATGCTCCAAAATTCAAGACAGATGAATCCTGGCATTGTCTTCGAAAGCAAGATGGTTCCATAAGCATCTATTCACGTGGTGAGCTGCATCAGATAGCTTATTGACAGCTGAAACCCATTTATCTCTGCAGGGCCTTCTAACAAGAGGCTCTTACATTTTCTCTTAGTTAAATCCAGGTGGTGACTTTTCTTTGGCCCACACAGTGAATATTGTCCTCTTTTACCATCATGAAATAATTCTTTGTGGGTTTTTTTTGTATCATTATACAAATGCTTTACAAAATTAAGGCTTTATTTTAAACACAAGTCTAAATAAAAATGAGGATATTCAGAATTTCACAAAGGGTGATGTTCCATACAATGTGTGAGCCAAGCTAAAGATTGATGTTCTTCTAAGTCAAGCTTTCTTGCTTTTTTATAATCTGCCTCGTTATAAATGTGATTGAGTGTTTTTTCCGATGAGCAGCTGGCAGAACAGTGTGTGTTTGTGTCATGCTGGTTGCCATATTTATTTTTGAGCACCCCTTGGCCTAATGTACCCAAAACACTATCCTATGGTGTGTGTGTGTTTTTATGTTTCACTGTCCTAAATTGCTGCAAGAAGTTCTCAAAGCACTTATTGCTTCACTGAGGAATATTGTTTTAGGAGTTTTGGAGAGATTATGCCCACCTTCCTCTAGTATCCATTTCATAGGTGCAGGTTTAAAAATGATTTACTGAAGATTAAGGGGAGAGTATTAGCGCTGCAGCTAAATGCTCTTCTGTTTCTACAAAATTGCACATTTCTTCCACAAAGTAGGTTCTTTTATCCAAAACAGCATACGGCTGAGGAATATGTAACATTCTGTTTGTGCTCTGTGTTGTAAATTAGCTTGAATAAACTGGAGGCATAAACAGCATTGTAACCCTTCTAATTGATATTAATTTACTTTTTAACTGACTGGTTCCAGCAGCTGATTATCCAACCTGTGCACATAAAGGTGGATTTTGCAATTCAACGTAAAATGTTGTTTGTGATCTGTTCATGCTGCAGCGTTTGGCTTCATGTGTTTCTGTCCTCATCATGTGTACATTTCTTTATAACGAATGGTCCAATTTTTTATTTTTTTTTATTTTTGCATGTTTGCAACCACAAACAGAAGGAGTCTTTAGGCTTTGGATTCACATGTGCGGCCCACCCGTCACAGCTTTTAGCCTTTATTTCATATTACTTGGGTCTGAGTGTGATGTACACTGACATCTCTGCATGTTGCAAACATCACTGACTCTCCTGCCGTTTTCCATCTCAACACATTTTAGAGTCGCTTAGATTCCAGATGACGTGCTGGTCAAACACGATCACACAAAACCTTACCCTTTTACTGCTCAGACATGAAAGTGCTCTTCATTGCCTGTTAGTTTTTTTAAATCTTTCTGGTGGAGCTCTTTATTTGATCTGAGTTTGAGTGCCTTAAAGCTAATAGAGCATCACAAGCTTTCTTTATGCTCTTTGATTTGAACAAAGATTAGACATCGGATTTGGCTTGTATCCAGTTGGCGTGCGATCGGCTCCCTTCTGTGCGCTCTTCTGCTTGCTAGCATGTCAGAGGTTTGTGTTGCTGCCATGTGTCCTTTATCAAATGAATACAGGAAGCTGAAAGGATACCTCTTGTTTGTAAACTGCAGCAGGACAACCGGCAGCTACTGACATTAAATCAAAGTTTCTCTGCTGCAATGGATGAATGATGGCACTGCACCAAGGGGTTCAGGGGGTGGAACAAGAAAGCTTTTTTTGTTTTTGTTTGTTTATTTTCAAATGTATCTCTTGAAAATGAGTACTCATGGCTCAGTGAGACTACCTGTATAAATAAAGGGTAAATGGAGAAAAAAAAAACTTAAAAAGGATCTACCTGATTAGATGGAAAGCTTATGTTAAACATGTTTGTTAGTAAAAGTTGTGTTTGTGGGAGCAGTGAGGATACTGTGAGTGAAGTGATGCATTTTTTATCTGAAGGCTGTAAGTTGGTTATTGTTGACTTGTTTATTTTTTAGCTCATTCTGTCAGTTTTTATTCATTCTGAGCATCCTGTGAGGAAAGAGTCTGTGACCGTATTAACTAGAGCTGCACCGATCAATTGGCCCTGATTTCTTTAATTTTGGGTGATAGGCAATCGATCGGCTGATACTTACAAGAGAAACCGATTTTACCTTTTTTTGGGGGGGGTAGTCTTAACAGCAATTGTCTAAACTTTATTTACACTGCCTGGTCAGAAAAAAAGTTTGTTGGACCGCCTTTAGCTTTGATTGCAGCATGCATCCACTGTGGCATTGTTTCGATAAGCTTCTGCAATGTCACAAGATCTGTTTCCATCCAGTGTTGCATTAATTTTTCACCAAAATCTTGCATTGATGACTAGACACTAGTCGTGATGGGTGCATCACTTCACCTATCTCTCTTCTTACCCTGATGGGCCCATCACTCTGGAACAGGGTAAATCTGGACTCATCAGACCACATGACCTTCTTCCATTGCTCCAGAGTCCAATCTTTATGCTCCCTAGCAAATTGAAGCTTTATTTTCCCCAGTTAGCCTCACTGATTAGTGCTGAAAGATAATTGCCCATGCATTAATTATCCATTAGGAGGCTCGTACCCATTTGATTAGTTAAATCCAGGTGGCGACTTTTTTTGGCCAGGCAGTGTATATTATATTATTGTATTATACTGTATATTATATATTATACTACCTCATTGCTAGTTAAAACAAGTGTGTATTGTTTCTAGGATATTATTCAAGGGTATGTTTTTTCAATAAAATAAGATGGAAAAATTGAAGGTGCATTGTGACCTTATAACACCTGACAGTGTCGCTTATAAAACAAAATCAGAATCGGCAGGTCAGGCTTTTTAGAGATCGGTGATCGGCCAGAAAACTGCAATCGGTGCACCCCAGTATTAACATGAACTATTATCAAGTTGTCATCCTCCAAAGTGAATGCACCTGCACAGGCTGTCATGTGATGTGTGTGAGTGAGTGCGCATTTTCAATGTGAGGATAGATGCTGAGGAGCATTGAGCTCCAGCATGCATGTAACCTGTAACCACGTGGCTAAATAATAATTATGTTTTTCTCTGCATGCCTTTAGATTGTGGTGCCGAGCGATGTTCTCAGTCCGGTTCATCCCCTTCTAACCAGGCGCCATCTTCACATACGCTGTCCTCCATCAAGTCCAAAGGGTCTCTGCGCCGGCAATCCAAATCAGTGGTACAATCTCCTTTTTGTGTCTCTAACTTGTCTCTCACTTTCTTCGAAATGTGTTTGATTTTTCACATTTTACGTAAAATATTTCATATATTATTTGTAGAATTTTGTTTTTGTTGAGATACACTTCCATCTATAATTTACTGTTATTGAAAAAGTTTTTTTTAAGAGTTTAAATGTAATGGCTTAAGTAGGGATGCATGATATTATCAGCATGTATCGGCCGATATTAGCGATAAAGGTAAATATCGGACATCGGCCATTCCATCAAAATAACTCACCGATATAAAAGGCGCTGTTTTTGTATGACAACCCAGTGACAAGGAGATTTGAGTTGATCATTAAGATTGTATAACCACATATTGGGCTTCTGTTTTAAGGACGTTTTTAATTTAGAAACTGTCAAGTATATCTATTAATGCACTACTACTTATGCCCTTTTCACTTGTCGCTTGTGAACAGGTTGAGTTTAAATTTGTAAAAATTTACAAATTTGCACTGTTCGAGTGTTGTCATTGTGTTAGAGAGAGTAAACGTCATGATAAATTTGACAATAAACATTATCCAAGTTGAAGTGTTACAACATTTTCAGCCCCCTTTTTAGCATCTGCATTTGGTAGCAGGCCAAATTGACAAAGACCATGCAGAATAATGTAGTATTCCACAGCAGAGAAAGCTTTGTAGTCTCTGTAAGTAGGTCAAGGGGGGAATAAATATTGGCATCGGTTATTGGCCAAATAAGTTTTTAGCATATTGGCATATTGGATATCGGCCAAATATCCCATATCGTGCATCCCTAGGTTTATGATAATTATAAAATCAACACATTTTATTTATATA